TGCCTAGTGCAGATGTTCACCAAGGGAATAGATGGAAGTCGTCGTTTCTTCAAATGCTCGTAAGCATGGGTAATTGCTATTACTATTTGTTTCTTCAATATGTTTCTCTTCTATACAACTTACATGACATACTTATTGCAGTCTTTCTTGGCCAAAGAAAATTGTGGGTTCACTAGGTGGGTCGATCCTCGACCTATTTATCCGCATGCGGAGTACATCTACTACCTGTAGGACCGTATCTTCGATCTAGAAAGGGAAGTTAGCAGCGGTTACAAGGACGACGAACAGGACGACAACAACAATGATGCTAGTTCACAGGAGGCACTCTGCAATGATCATATTGCACCTGCCATAATCACACGAACAAGGGTCCTCCACCGCCACCCCCGCCGCCACCACCAACAACAATGGGAGGATACTGTGGAGAAGGTGCAACATAATTTGCTATGTGGCCACACTACTAGGACAAACCAATCTTTTTAACGGGCCGCATCCATGTGTTTGTTTTTTTGGTTTAATCACCTAAGGCATGTTAGGGTTAGTCGAAGGAAATATGTACCCTTGTTTGGCACATGTTCTCACATGCCATTTCATGTGCTTGTTGTTTGCTTCAATTACCTAAGGCATGTTAGGTCTACTCCAGGACCTCTGTACCCTAGTTTGGTACATGTTATCACATGCCATTTCATGTGTTGTGTGTGTTGAATTAGGTAATCCACTACTTCTTTATATTTTATTTGCACTACATGAGCTCGTCTCACTACCTATACAATATTAAACTCAATATTATGACAACAAATAATAAAACCAACAACACTATGAAAGGTCCAATAATAGATCACATTAATCAACATAACAACATTTGAAGTACATGATGATAAACTAAAAGTGCATTACATGACAACACAATGCAAAGTCCAAGATTAGACAACATTGTTCATGAATAAACCATAGAAGTAGCAAGTCATGAAGACTACTGAGTACAACGAGGCCACTTTTCCTTCTTCTAGGCATCAAGATTCTCCTCCATCGCTACCTTCGCTCGGAGTGCACGCTCAAGCTTCCTCTCCCTCTCCTCCCTGTGTGAAGCAACACACCTCCTTTCCTCCTCTTCCTTGTGCTCCTTTTCTAGAGCCTTCTCTCTGCATCTCTTCTCCATCATCTCCTTGTCCTCTGCCTCCCACCGTAATAGTTTCTGCATCCACTCCTTGTCTTCTGACTTGATCTCGGTGTCGATCCACTGCTCAAAATCACAGAGCGGTGGAGGGGTCTGCAACAAATGCAATTGTTACAAAACAAATAAATCATGCAAGACTTCATTTGACACAAAATAAATATTAAACAACATTAATTTCTCACCATCTTGTTAATGCGGCGTTGACGAAGTGTAGGCTCAAACGCAAAATTGGCACACATCCAATACCTCTGCCTATACGTGTCCTCTTCATTGGACTTGGCTACCTTGCAAGGATCGTCGCAAAAGCACATGGTCGCTGGAACACCACTAGGCAGCGGCAACGGGTCGAAGGCATTTTCGGTCATCCGGCCATAACTACAATTGAACCAAATTTGTTCTAAGAACCGAAAGCAATGAACATTAAACCCTAAACCTAGGGTTTTTCTATTTGTTGCACATAAATGAAAACATAATATAACACGATGATAAAAGATTACCTTGGCTTACTAGCTTTACCACGTCTTGGCATCCTACCGTTACATAATACAAAAAATAAAAAATCACTTCAAACATTAGGTAATAACGTATCTAGTGTTACAAAATAGACGTAATATATACCAAATCAATGCGTAAAAATGATAAGGGGAGAGAGGATACCTTGCTCGCGAAGATGTATGGATCAAATCCAAGTATCTAAGGTCAAATTCGTCGATTCAAGAGATTGGGCGGGTTAGGGAGAGAAAGAAACCGAGAGGGAGGAGGAATAAATGAGAGCAGCCTTGGCAAGGGAAACTTGGCCGTGGATTTTGAATGCATGCTCGGCGCCAAAATACATGGTTCCGAGCTCGGCGCCAAGATCTGTGGCGCTAACCTCGGCGCCGAGGTATCGGCCATGTGAACGCCACCTTGGATGCCCTGCTTTGCACGGCCAGGAACCTCGGAGCCAAGATTATGATGCCGAGATGTGTTACCTCGGCGCCATGAGTCCTGGCGCCGACCCCCAAGGTCCAAAGATGAGTTTAAGTCTCCCAGAGGGCCAAACGTATACTTTCTTTAAAAAAGGGTCAAATTGTAAAAAATTGGGCCTACTAGCGCCGTCCCGTCGCGACGTCCAGCAGGTCGCGCAGGGGCTCGAGTACGTCCACCACCACGCGGTCAATAGCTTGCATGCTGGCGCGTCCCCGTCGTCCCAAGCTCCGACGGCCATTGCCGGTATGTGGGCGAAGCTCCGGCCATCCATGCTCAGCGCCCGAACAGCGACTCCATTGCCCACTGTGTCGTGCCCCACCCAACCCCTACCCCGACGTGGCTGCTCGTGGCCTCTCCTTCCTCGGCTCCGGCCCCTGTCCGGCGACCACTGCGGGCCACCCCTCCCCCCTCCGGCCCCGGCCCCTGTCCGGCGAACCCCGCAGGCCTCGTTCCCTTCGCGTCGGCGCGGACACGGCGGGTCGTTGCAGCGCGACTGGCCACTACTGCGAGGTGGAGGCACTGTCGCTCGCCCCGCCTCTCCCTCTCCCTCCCCATCTTCTTCCTCCTGGTCTGCAATGGCACCGAAGAGGGGCAGCGGCGGCTTCTTGGCCGAGGTGGGTGAGTCCATGCCGCTCGCACTGCACGTGTTCCATGAAATGGCAGTGACAACGTGTGGGAGGTAACGTTATCACGTTCTAAGTCCAGCGTCACCGCATCCATCTGTACAGGCAAAACAAATACGATCTCAATCAAGCTCGGCTCTGCTAGGTCACGTTTCCAAACAAGAGCAGTTGCACCACTTGGGACTGCCCTGGGGTGGCCTGGGCCTGACGAACGGGCTGAGCCAGCCTCAACCACAAACACGCCCCTAGCTTCCCAACCTACATCCACATGGTGGCCACTGGGCAACAGATGGGTGTAAAGTAGTTAGCTTGACGGATGCGTGAGCACCGTGGAGCGTTCCGTTTAGGCCTTGGCCCTTGGGGGCACGCAGACGCAGCGCCGGTCACCTGGACTGAACAGTGGTGAGGACGGGGACCATTCCCCACCTTTGGCCCTGGGTCTCGGCGACGGCGATCTGGCGGATCACGCACGAGAGCGACAGGCCTCTGCGGTGCGGGTGAGGTCCACGGCCCACGGGAGCCCAGCAGAGGCAGCTGTCCGCGTGGACGGGTCAGACTCGACGGCTGTTCGCTCGCCTGTTCCGCTGCCTTGCAATGCTCTGCTCACGTGGCTGCCGGGCGACGTGACTGATCGGTGACGCTCAAGGTTGCTTCCAGCACCATTAATTAATTAAAAAATCAATGCACGTCCATACGCCCTATCCACGGCCGCCGCCGTGGACGCGGGACGCCTGTCGCCGTCCGATTCGCCCACGTCGCGTGAGGCTTCAAGGCCCCGCCGCCCGCGGGGGACCAGAGAGCAAGCGCAAGTGGCGGGGCGGCTGGTCCAGGCCGGCAGCGGCGTACGTGGCAGGTCGCGGAGTCGACACGACACGCGAACCTCTCTAGTACCGTACGTGGATCACATGGCAAAACGTAGGCCACGTTTAGTTGGTCACCAAGTTGGCGTCGACTGATTTCGCGAAGCACTGTAGGTACAGTAACTTAGTTCGTTTTTATTTAGTAATAATTGTTCAAACATTGACTAATTAGGCTCAAAACGTTTGTCTCGTAAAGTACAACCAAACTGTGTAATTAGTTTTTTATTTCATCAATATTTAGTATTCCATATATGTACCATAAATTTAATATGATGAAAAATCTTTTTTTTACGTAGTGTCAAAGTTGATATTTTGGATGAACTAAACAGGGCCGTAAACGTTAGCCTGAACTTTTAGCCTTTGTTTTCCTTTTTACCACGGGGATCGAAATGCGTGGGCCCCACCCCCCACGCGCCTAGTTGCCGCGCCACTTGTGCGTCGTGTCGTGTGGTGGGGGGAGCACCGCGCCTGGTCCATCACGTGCCACGTCCCCCGCGCGGCAGGGCCCGCACCTGCTGTACCTACCTTTGCCCGAGCCCGATCGCGAGCCGAGCCTCCTGCGGGAGGGGAAGGACGAGCGGCTCTTGGGTCTTGGCTCGGCTCATCTTCGGACGATACAGAAGGCTTGCTGGTCGTGGCGGTGGCCCACCCAACAGCAACACGTGTCGGCGCGGTCCGCCCCGACATGCGGTCGCCTCCCTCCACGCGCCACTTGCCTTCCCCACCAAACACGCTGAGAGCCGCTAATCAGCAATTACCAACGCATATATGTATAATAATCATCATCACCGTACCAATAGCAACGGCCCCACCCGTCCACCCGACGTCCCGACCCAGCTAGCCATCCACAGCAAGAAACGCAGGCCTTCCCTTTTGCTGCCCCGCCCCAATCCCAATCATCGAGGGGGCGGAGGCGGAGGCGGAGGCGGAGGCGGAGCGGACGGAGTGGGGGCAAATCGGATTAGAAGGCCACGTCAGTCTCACCAATCGCCCTCTGCAGCCAGGCCGCCGCTGGCAGGCAGGCAGGGACGGACGGAGATCTGATTGCTCTTCTTATCTTCTCGCCTCCCCTCCCGTTCTTCCAATCTGCTGTCGCCATATCTTTCTTCCCCCAATTGCCCGCGCCGCGCGCTTTGGCCATTGCCTCGTTCGCGTCTCCTTCGCCGCCCGCGGATGCGACCGCGCTTCTAGGAAGATTCGTCCGCGTGCGTGGCGGCCGGGCGGGGGTGCGCTTGCTCCCGACATCTTGCTGTTCCCCATTCGTCGGTCGTTGCCACCATGGATTCTTAATAATCAATTCTTTCCCCAAGCTTCTTCCTTGCTTGGGAGCACGGAGCAGCCTGCAGGCTGTTAGTTAGCGTGGGGAGGCCTATGGCGTCCAGGGACTTCCTGCGCGTCTTCGGCGCCGGCGGCGAGGGGTCGGGCGCGCCGGCGGAGGCCGCCAACGCCGGCGCCGGCCAGCCCGACGACGTCGAGCTCAGCCTCGGCCTCTCCCTGGGCGGCCGCTTCGACACCGACGCCGCCGCCAAGCGCCCGCGCCTGGCGCGCTCCTCCTCCATCGCCTCCGTCTGCTCCGTCTCCTCCCTCCACGGGGACGCCGACGCCGACCCGTCCCCCGCCGCGCCGCTGCCGCTGCTGCGCACCACCTCGCTGCCCACCGAGACCTTGGAGGAGCGCTGGCGCCGCCGCGAGATGCAGAGCCGCCGCCGCCTCGAGGCGCGCCGGAAGCGCGTCGAGCGGCGCAACTCCATGGGATCCTTGGTCCCCGCCGGCCCCAAGCCCGCTGCCGACGCGATCACCGCCGTCGGCAGCGGGAGGAGGTCCATCGGCTCGCAGGGGAGCAACTCTGTAAGCACCACGGAGCAAGGTATACACGAATGGATCATATCATGTGCTCAACACCTACTTCTGTTTGCTTAAGTTCTCGTGCTCAGCTACCATGGTTTTCTATCTGCTGCTGCTGCTTGATGGGGCGCATGCTTGTTTTCATATTACGGCTTGCTATGCATTAGTCAGCAACTTAGGGCTTGTTTAGTTCGTCCCCCAAGAGTTTACTCTCTGTCTCATCGAATAGTGCATGGAGTATTAAATACTAAAAAAATAACTAATTGCACAGTTTGCAACTAATTTGCAAGACAAATCTTTTAAGCCTAATTAGTCCATGATTTGACAATGTGGTGCTACAGTACACATATGCTAATGACTGATTAATTAGGCTTAATAAATTCGTCTCGTGGATTAGTGATGGATTCTGTAATTTGTTTTTTTATTAGTATCCGAACACCCCATGGGATGACTGATGTGACACTCCCGAAACTTTACGCCCTGGATTTAAACAAGACCTTAGTGTTCGTGCCGTGCACCAGATTTGGGCGGAGAACACGGTCGACTTCACAATTTCCCGTCTGCCACATAGGTGCTCCAGCCATTGCCTATGTGTGTCTACTGAGTCGCCACCCAAATCCGACTCCAGCCAACTGCATGCTTGGTCAATTGCGCATATCCGGGATTTGATCCTGTAACCACACCGCAATTGCCTTAAGGATAACCATCTAAGCCCACATTTTTTTTGCTTGGATCATAATTGTAGGATGTGTTAATATGTGATCCAAACTTTTTAATCTATTGCTCTAGTTTGGCATTTAACAACATGGCGGGATGATGCGGCAGAACAAATCATAGCAAGGCAGCACGACTGCTGGCCATTGCTTCAAACATTGCATCCCACAAGCTGTAGTCATATTGGCAAGGAAATATTTTTGAGCTACTGCAATTCTTAAATATCTAGATGATTTGGGCTAAAAAATATTTGTAGGGTTCAATGAGTCCTATATGTTAGTGGCTCAAGCCACAGGTCCAGATCCAAGCAACTGCAATTTCAGCATCTTTAATTTGGATATTCTGGTATCAAATCCCGGAGCCCCTAAGTTTCTGAAGCCTAGGAATAACTAACTTCGCTATTTTTGGACTCAGTCAATATGCCAACATGCCATCTGAACAGTACAGCCCAATGCCATATAATGACACTATAATGTGAAAGGTTAGATGGAAAGTTGCATGACCTGAACCATCCATAGCAGGAAATATATGGCATCTTCATTTAAAAACAATGAAGGGCGGGCCTGGTGCAAGCGGTAGAGTCTTACCGCCTGTGACCGGAAGGTCCCGGGTTCGAGTCGCGGTCTCCTTGCATTGCACAGGCGAGGGTAAGGTTTGCCACTGACACCCTTCCCCTGACCCCGCACAGAGCGGGAGCTCTCTGCACTAGGTACGCCCTTTTTCATTTAAAAACAATGCATAGTAAGCCAAATTTTGATTCTCAAATCCAATCATGGACAAAAGATCTAGACAACATGTTTGCGAGCTTTCTCGTGATCTTGTCTTAGGTTTACAATTATGGAGAATAATTGCATTTATATTATCATTTTAATGGCATACATGTAGGTTTAATCAGAAATTGGTCTAAACCCAACTGGTGAAAAAAAAACTCCAAACATGATGCACATGTTCTAGTTTTTGCTGCCCTCCCCTATTCTTCACCAGCTTCTCCGCAACTTTAGTTGGCTTTCAGCGAGCGTACATTGTCCATTGCAACTCAGTGAATGAGCAGATCTTACAGTTTATGTATGTCACGCCCCACTAAGTCTCATGAAGTTTGTCTCGGTTTCAAGCTTAGTGCAGACTGCAAATTAGTAGTTGCAGATGAATTGGAAACTGTGTTGTTTTGCTAAATTAAGTGAACTTACAGGAAAACTAACCTTGCGCTTCTCCATCCGGTGAACGACTTAGTAAACCAAGTACATCAGAAAAAAGAGAATGCTTTTGTATGTGATGAATTCGGTATTTGGGATTGTGTTGTTATTATGAACAAAAATGTAGACAAAAGCCCTGGTCGAAGCTCATGTCAAGTTCATAACAAGCTTGTATTTATATTATATACTGGCAGTAAAGTTATACAGCATACCACTTGCCAAGATTAGCTGAACTCTCACTGCTTGGCTATCTGACATCTATCCCCTTTCGAGACTGTCTCTTCCCCTCTTCAATGAACATCAATTGCCATTTTTCCTCAACTTGCAGCTGAATCCTGGGACTTCAGTTGCTAGTTGGCTATGTTCAAGCTTATCTTGACAAGGGACGTTTCGATTTTGATTAATTTCCCACTGTGAATTGGTTCAACAATTATTGCGTATCATGTTGGAAGTGACGCTAAACTTTAGGTTGATAGGCACTGTTTTCTGAATCATGGGAAGCTAATACACATACAATTCAAAACTTCTACATGCTTGCATTTGCAAACTGCTTATCAAAAGTTCCATTCTTTTGAACCATTGACCTCTTAATCTTTTCTGAAGTTTCCCTGAAGTTTCTTGTTGAAGTACCATGATGTTTGATTGACATTCCAATCTATGGTTAGTACTTGGACCAAATAGTTTTGCATTATCGTTTTGATGATTGTGCTGTCGGGAAAAGGAGAACAAACTGTTTCTCACAGTTTCTGCTTGCATTTTCTCCCCATCAAATGATCTCTCTAGTTTCTGCTTGCATTTTCTCCTGTCAAATAATCTCAAAATCTTTGCTGTTGTATATTCCCAGGTATTGGTGGAAGTGCAATTAACCAGTCCACAGGCGCGAGTCCATCAACCTCTGATAACACAAATCAAAATAACATGCTTCCTCCGACCAAAGCGGCTGAGAAGCCACTAAATGGCACTGTGACAGAGCAGCCTCGTCTGCGGACGCTTGGCTCCCTCACGACACGGACGAGCACCAGTGACATCAGGAAGCTCATGATGGAGGACATGCCAATGGTCTCATCCAAGGTAGAAGGGCCTAACACCAGGAGGATCGACGGCTTCCTGTACAGGTACAAGAGAGGCGAGGACGTGAGGATAGTATGCGTCTGCCATGGTAGCTTCCTCACTCCCGCAGAGTTTGTTAAGCACGCTGGCGGCGGCGATGTATCGAATCCGCTACGGCATATTGTCGTCAACCCTGTGCCATTCTCGTGAAGAGAGGGTTACCCTGGTGCTGGTATCTACTGTGCTGTAACATGTAGGCTCCTTGTTTCGGGGAGTTCAACGGAAGGTCTCTGTATTTTACATAAAAGTGAGTGTGACAGAAAATTCAAGAGAGAGATCATCTGCAAATGTTATAGGCTTGTCTACAAATTGACAAGGATTCAGTTGCTGGAATAGGTGAGCCAAGTCTGGCACCTTGGAGGACATGTGCAGGCTTACAGCACGTGCCTGTTCTTTAACTTATTATTAAATCGCCGAAATTCACTTCAATTTTTTGCAGACTTACTGTTTCCTTTCAAATGTGGCTAGGTGGTTTTCTCGCAAGCTTGTGACGGTTGCACTGTACCTTTTTTTTTTAAGTTTGCAGGAGCACCATATAACATTTTTTTTGAAGGTCACTATATAACATTTTTTTAAGAAGAGAGCAAGTTCGATACATGGTTTTATTACATAGAAAACCAAAGAACCCTAGCACTACAGCCTCTGTTTCCAATTAGCTAATGTCATGGATGCAAAGGATGCCCACAAGCCACTCTCCTAAAGGCCATTTCTTCTTTTGTTAGATTGAATATACTTGCACTGACGAGTTCAGTTTACCAAAGATTCTTCTATTTCTCTCCTAGAAAGGTCGAAAAATTGTTGCGCTGTGCCTAAGGATGTTTGAAGAGCTTCTGAGCCAGAAGCTCCTCCAAATAGAGTCGCTTCAAGCTGACAAAAATCCAAAAAGCTATACTAAAAGTACTAAAAGCAGAAGTTACAGCTTCTAAAGTTCTTTCAGATGCTTTTGAAAAAATTACAGCTCCCCAAATAGGGCCTGAACTATTTCCCAAAATCACGAATGGAGACAAATCCTTCAATATATAGTATCGTGTGCAGAAACTGCAAAAGGGTAGCAGAAAACTGCACTATAGTAGCCATGAGAAATAAGCCAAAATTTTGAGATAATTACACCCATTCACCAGTGGAGCGCAAAGATCCCCGGAACATAGACGGCTAAAGCCCTAAACCCTTGCTACCTTTTTCCTCCCGGTCTTAAATTTCATGTTTTTCTTTTTCTGCTTCTTGTAATCCTTGTACATGTTTACGGATGACAACGTGTGGTTCAGCTCGGCTCTCAACCTCTCATTCTCCGAGATGCCTCTTAGCACAGCGAAATGGCTCTGCAACTTCTCTTCGAGCTCGTCTTTATCCACCGAGCAATCTGCCTTCTGAAGTACATCTGGGCTTAGCGCAACAAACTCCTTGCCACGTCGCCTCTTTTTGAGATTCAGTGGCAATGCTTTGCTAGTTGGTTTTAATAGTTCCCTTTCCATTGACAGGTCTCTGTATGCTTCAAGAGGGTTCACATTCAAGATAGGAACAGGGTTCTGCGTGGGATTCAAGTTTGCCATACTCAAGATATTCGAAGCCATTGAGGAAACAGAGATATCATAATGCTTCTCTAGGAGGCTGAGCTCCCAAAGGACTGAAGCGAGCGCACCACTCAGATATGGATCTGTAGCTTCGGGGTTGTATTTCTGGATAAAAGAAGAGGAATAACATGATCAAATAAATACAAAGTGTCGATATCCAATTATGGAAAAAAGAACATGAGAATAAATATACCGCAACTAAGCAAGACAGAGAGCCGCCACCAGAATCATTTTCCAACATATTGCGGCACTTGCTATTTTTTTGGAGGAGATGCTTCAGTGTGACCAATGCTGAAATAATCATCAAACATGTAAACAATTATGACATTAAACAAAAGAGGAAAGATTATGCTTGATAACTAATACCCATAACACTACTTCCTCCGTCCTGAAATAGTGTATTTTCATTTGTCCTAAGTCAACCCATCTTAAGTTCGACCAAATTTATAGAAAAGAACAATACTATTTTTTACATCATATAAGCTCCATTACAAACATTATGGAATGTATTTTTATAACTTACCATTTTGATGTGGTAGAAGTTAACATGTTTCCCTATAATTTTAGTCAAACATGAGGTGGGTTGACTTAAGACAAATGAAAATACGCTATATTTCAGGACAGAGGGAGCAGTCAGTAATGAAATGTATTCAAGCAGGTTTAATACAATACTAATAATTATTGTATAACCAACGCTTGAACTAAATAGAGAAGTACTCCTGAGTCCTGAAAAGTGCTCCGTGCAATCATTGCATCCTTATTAGTTATTACTATTAATCATCTTGGGATATTATAGAAGTTCCACAGGCATCAGCTCAAAAAGGATGGGACAAACAAAAACGAGACCTCCAGAACAAACCTGCTATCGCTTCTGCAGAGCCAAATGAGAGGGCCAATGTGGCCAAACGTTTAATGAAAGCAGCAGCTCTTAGCATATCCTGCTGTTTGCCTTCCCAAAGAAGTGTCTTCAGAGCATCAGCCAATACCTCGCCGTGATCCCTGGATGTAACAGAAAGAAGTATTTTCATGGTACAAGACAGCTTAATAACTACATAGGCTAATTCAAGGAAAATGATACCTAAAATTATCCAAAATATATTGAAAATGGCACAAATATCAAGACAGGGAGGAAAAAGTAAAGACGACAGCTATCGCCATGGAAATATTTATTTTAGTGTATAGCATTGTCTCTACATTATTGAAAATCAGAAATAGGCATGGACATAATACTATCATTCTTCAAGATTACAATTATTTTTTTGGGAAGAAAATAAAAAAAATGTATGATGAAGTGCATGATAGGCATTGTCAGCATGTCCATAGCATTGAAGCAATAATTAACAAGGGATCTCAACAAGATTTAAAGCATTAATGATGGTTAGTGATAAAACTTTGCTATCTGCCATGAGTACCATTGTTTGAAAAGAATAATACGGTAGCAGGTTATCTTGGATTGTTCAACAAATGGTAACTATAGATTAAAAAAAGGCAGAGAGAGTTCTTCGTTGTAACTATCATCAAGAGCAAGGAGTCAAAACCTGTCAGGCCGATACTCCAGTATGAGGTTATAAAGCTGCACAAAGAAATCCTGTAGATCCACATTCAATGCCTCAAGGTTGCTCCTCCAGACTTTAACCGCAACTATGCAGCACTGCAGACGTTCTGAGACAGACAGTGCATTATCATTGGGAATTTCATCTTGTCGGTCGCTATACCCAGAAAGCTTCTTGAGGCAAGATATAAGTTCACCCATGAAATCTACATCAATTAAATGTGAAAATTTTCCTAAGCCCTCCAAGCATGGAGTGAGCAGTGGGTGTGAGCCACCTGGGGAGACATTATTCACCTTGGTCCTGGAATTTTTAACGATACAATGACTGTCAGATGGTAACTTCATTCCAAAATGAAGTGAAATTTCATGCTATTAAATCAACATGTCAAATCCAAAACAAAAGGCATATCATATAATTCCACAAAGAAGGAATTATTTGTTATGATACAGGTAAAAAAATCAAACACAGACCTTGAATTTGAAGTGGTCACACTATGCTTCAGAATGCGAAAGTAAGTCTCAAACAGAGCAGAAAGTGTTTCTTTTTGTATCCTTTTTCTCTCTTTCGGATCAAGAGTGAAGGAAACTGCTCTAAGATCTACATCAACCTGAAAAAAATACAATGGAAATGATTACACGAATTCATGCGGCCTTCCAATAAATAATGTCTTATCTGATGTTACCTCCTCTCTAGCTTTTGAGATCAGTTCCTGTCTGGTTTTCTTCTTATCATTAACTGGCAATTGCTTCGGAACCTCCTGATTTTTTTGCCAACGTTTATTCTTCTTTGGTTTCACCTTTTCCTCCTCAGTCTCATCTTTTCCAATATCTTCATCAAATCTCAAAGACAGGAAGACCTAAGACAAACATCCCAGTACATAGTCAGCAATAATAGAATATTGATCCATGCTCAGTTTCTTTTAAACATAAACTGCATGAAAAAGGTACAAAATGAACATTAAATACATACGACAAATAAGACAGCCGATAATCACCATACATCAATGCTATCAGGATGGAGCTGGCAATCATTGAGCTTCACATGATCTGCAATCAACCTAACTGCTTCTATTGTTGCCTCGCCACGATGTTTTCCTTCATTTATAAATAATGATCTTATTGCTTCACAACACATTTTCCTACAAAGAAAAATTAGGTATATGTGGACTACTTCAGTGATCCAACGGACTACAAACTGCGCCGAAGTAAAAATAGCATACATTATCACATGAAAAACTCCTTGTTTTATTAATTACTAAGAGCTGTCAAGGAGTAACAACAAATACCACAATTAGTGCTATTGGGTATGGTATATTTGCTCAAATAAATGATTTGTACCCATTATCCTTTTCAGTTCAAGGAAAAAGAAGGAAACTCAAAAACAATTTAGACCACTGTAAGATGAATTAATAAAGTTATTCTGCTACCTAGCTCCATGGTGTATCTAATCAATCAAAAATGTAAGGATGATGGTTTGACACAGCAATATTTTATTTATAAAGTACTCAGCTACAATATTTTAAACAATTTCAGATCAGCCAAGGACTTGACACACAAAAAGAGTTTTTACCTTACTACATCGTCTGAGGAGCTTAGATTTTTTACCACACTAGCCAATAGGTTTTCACGGAAGTTAAAATGTGGGGCAGTATCTAATAAAGCACACATGCAACGAACTGCCACAGTATAAAAATGGGGCTGCTTCTCCAACGATACCAGTTTCTGTAGGTATGCCTGAAAATTCACAAAAGAAAACCAACTCCAGCCATCAGAATTTTGGAAGTTATCCAGAGCACCAAAATCAAAGATGAACAACAGTTCAAATCAGTAGGTAAATAATATCTATTTAGCATAGTTCATGACCAGGCAAACTTCACTATGCATGAAGGAGACCCAGAGTATGACCTTGTAGCAGCGAATAAGTGTGTACTCATAATATCTTGTCTTCTTCACTTCTTTTGAAACTTCTACTGCTAGCTCCTTTTCTGTCAGCTGCCTAATCCGATAACTGTAGTTTGCATAAAAAACATGTATAGGTAACTTGGGAAGAAACAAATCCAGCCAAGGTATATAATAAAAATTAATTGTAACGTACCTCGGAATAATGTCCTTAAACACAGCAAGCAAGGACATCAGACCAAGTTTAGCAACCTTTTGGTCTTTGTCATTGCTTATACTTAACATATCATTCAGAGATCTAATGTTTGACTCAGGATCTTCAAGCATAGCCATCCCCAGTTCGGCAAGTTGAGCCTTCTTTTTTTCGAATAATTCCTCAGCTGAAAGTTCCTCTTTCACTTCCTCCTGTCATGTGTCATGCAAGGTATGTGAGGGAATTTTTTTGATTAAAAAATGTATAAACTGTGGTAAATCAGTGGAACACTCCCAGCCCAAAACTTCTGTAGTTCGTTAGATTGACCCAACCTTTGATAAACACAGCGAGATAGTTAATTTGGCTCAAAATCTTCTGCTTTATTCAGCCTAGTATTTTTATGTTAACATTTTTTACAAATGATTTTTATGTCAACATCAAGTGAGTTATTGAACCTTCAAATTGGGATATATACAAACCACTTTCCATATCTTACTGGAGGTCGAATATGCCTAATTTACTTACATATTACTACCAAACGTAGCAAATTCATTTACAGTCATGCTTCATGACAATATTATGATCAGATATACATCCTTATCCTTACTCTAAAGAAAGGAGCCAAGAAACTGGTACATTTATATTCTACCAACACACCATGAGCCTAAAATGAACTAGAGCAAGTGAGCAACTAGAAAGGAGATTTCAAAAATGGAATTTTGACTGGTGCATATTTTCAAAAAAGGGAACAGAAGTAGTACCAGCACATTTGAGTGTAGTTGTCCCTTTGGAACTTCAGTTTGAGATTGAATATTTTTCACTTTATTATCATCTCCCTTTTTGTTTTTAGATTTTCCCTTCGGTTCATCTTTCTTAATACTTTGCTTGGCATCTGCACCATTCTCTTGAGCTTTAGACTTAACACCACCAGTATTGTCTTCAGACCTTGCTTTCTTCGCTGCATGTCATGGCATACATACATGTTACAAAATTATGTGAGCATTCACACCAGTACACCACAAACAGAACAAATTTGAAGGAAAAAAAAACATCACTGTTCTTCAAAATTCAGACATCAATGTGTAAAAATGTCATTTGCAAGTGATAACGTGTTTTTATTAACTTCAAGTGCACTGCAATTTACAGGACATTCCTGTTTTGCACAGATTAAAAGTTGTTACAATAATCATGTTACTGGAAACTCGGACTTGATGGTTATGATTAGTAACGGGCATTGTGTATCTAACGGTTTACCTCTATTGTAGACGAGCTCCCCTTGCAGGGTCTTGGTGGGGAGTGCGTCGACGGGGTCGACCTCCAAACCGTCATCATCCTCGCGGGGTTTCCCCGAGGACTCTGTGGCCTTCCTCTTCTGGCGCTCTTCGTAGAGGCGCTCGACCTCGCCCTCGTCGCGTCCTGCGACCCTCCCGACATACCTTCAGGAACCAAAGAGAGAAATTCCACGCTCAATCAATCAAGAGCAATGCGACACCAAGGGAGGGAAGTGAGGAATTGGAAGGCACAGTGCAACGCGCCCCGGAGAAAAGCGACACCAACCTGTCGATGGACTTCTTGTCGAAGCGGCGGAAGGGAGCTACGTTACTGCTGTCGGTGGCATAGAACGCGATGTCTTCGTCGCTGAGATCCACCTCATCGTCGTCGATTTCTGGCGGCAGCTCCGGTGGGAGAATGACCTTGTTCTTGTCCTTCCTCTTGCTGCCGCTCCTCTTCCCCATCGAGACTGGCGGCGGCTCGTCCCGAATTTGCAGTACGGGAAAGGAGGAGAGGAGAGGCGCGGCGGGGTTGGGGTTTAGGTTTTGGCGCAGCGTTGGGACGCGGCGGCCGCGAAGAGAGGAAGAAGAAAGCGTGCTTGGTTGGCCGCTGGTTTGGTTCTATAACCGGGCCTGCTGGGCCTGGGTGCTATAGGGCTGGAAAGGCCTTGTTTTTTTCGCTTATATATAATCACAGTATCGCGATCCCCTCAAAAAAAAAAATCACAGTATCGCGAGAATATTTTCGATTCTCTACTTGAAAATTTTGAAACGCAGAAGAATTGGAAATAATCGGATGATTGAGATTCTTACTTTTTTTATCGATGTAATCCAATTATATAAGCAGAAACAAATAGTAGGACCATAGTTGAATCCGCTCCAATTTGACCAGCCGCATGCCTAATCATGGGGGTGAGGTGCCGACCGTCCATTGGTTTCGTGTTCTTTGAAAATTTTGAATTATGATGAAGCTTGAAATGTTAATATCTACTACTACAAGCACTGAAAAAGCTTCACTGATAAAAAAAAAAATCTTCTGCTTTTACCCAGCCGGCCGGAAAAAGCTTGAAATTTTTAAACAAGGGAAACAAAAAAGAAAACAAGCACATTTGATTGCAGCTCACATCAATTTATCAGTCGAGCTACCAATACAGCAGCAACACATCTTGGCATCTTGCGATTTGGACTTGCACGGACAGGTTTAGAATCATATATGCCTGCTTTTACACATCTTACACCGCAGCACCCTACAATCCTCAGTTTCAGCATCTCACGATCAATATACAGAATGTGGCATACAGTGGATATCTCAAGGGCAAGTTGCAGGCTGCAAGAGTTTGTTAGACTGATTTTACAGGAGCTAGTTTCAGCATCTGAACTAAAGGCATGAATTGTTATAGACCAACGCCGTGGAATCCTCCTAAATCATGGAGCTCATGTTTCCTCGCTTCAGTCATAAGGTCAGAATCAGATGGGTACAGAAAATGTAATGACTTGACTGCACATCATATGAAGATGCCACCTGCTACATGTAATGGAGCATCCACTTGACCATCTCTGGATTTGACTACCTGTGTGGAACCATTTTGACCAAATGAGATGGAGGAAGACATCCGCTTCACAACTTTATCAAGATATAGAATTACTACCAGTGAAATTGGGCAATAGAAAAATTCATATTCTTCTCCACAAGGCAGTGCAACTATTGGAATCAGATAACATAACAAAGGTCCAGTGGGTTGCACGTTGCAGAGATTTAACTTCCCTCCATTCACAAGTTCATGATGCTGACAAATTTAAAATATCAAAATTACTAAAGAAATAGTGCAGGGCAACAGTTTAAAAATCTTAATATGAATCTTTTCACACACAATCCGAGTAAGGGGATGCATCAGATGCAAAACCCTCACCAGGTTTTATCATGGCAGTCCTTTTACAGAGATCAAATGAATTTGAAAAGTACTTGAGAGCATACTTGAAGCTATACTTTCCATTTTATTAAAGCATCGTTTCCCAATGCAGGGCAAAACAAATCACTCAGTAAACTACAACTATAGCAATCTTCACAGTTGAGCTCTAAGAATATCCAAGCCAACTAGGCAAACCAAGAATGAAGAAAGATGAGTGCATCAACAATGAAGAAAGAATAATCAACCAGGCAATGGAAGCAAAAGTTGCAACAGCCAAAATTGTGTCAAAGCACCAGCAGCCATATCTTTCTCAGGCAACATAATTTACAGTTTGGTCATATACCTTTACCATGCCCAGGGAAAACAGATCATGTAGTGGTTGAACCAGATCGCCAAGGATAGCTCTTTCCCTTTGATCTGACAAAAAGCCCCCATAAGTAATTCTCACCATCTATCCCTGTTATCAAGGTAGAAATTAAAATATCATATTATGCCTTTGATATGGTTTATTTTCTTGCACGGGAGGGAACAGAAAATTGAACTACTAACACTGAGAATCAGGGGGAAGCACTTCCGAGGAATATATCAACAACTTTATGTCATGAATATATGCCCTTAGAACATAGTTGCTGGAAGCTTCTAATAGATTAGAGTGTATCTTTTCACAGCTACAAAGCAAGTGAGGAACAAAATCATTGAATATCTGAAAGCAGTTACTGACTTAGTAAAATATGTTTCAGAATATATATGTGACAAAATGTTGGTATCAGTGTATCGGAAACAACAGAAACCCTACGCATCAGGTTTATTAGAAAAGAAGAACACGCCAATGTCTTCATGAACTGGAGTAATAGTCTCAAAAGATTTTGGCCAATCATTCATTCGAGGTAATAACTCCAGCTGTAGATCAGTGGGCATCATCTTGACAATATCATTAACTCTGGGTGACACTTTTGATGGAAAGTAGGCTTTAAATTCACCAAGATTTAGCTTTTCTCCAGCATAAAAGACATGAAAGCATCCCCTAAAGTGCAAACGAAAGCTAAACATTAGAAATACAACATTATATATATGAAATTAGGGTCAGCTGCCACAACAATAGCAGAGAAGCATTTGTCTTTTATGAAGAAAAAAAAACATCTAGAATTATTTCCGGACAAAAGTATAATTTGGTAATTTATGGAAGTATTGCCCGTGAAAACATTAGCCGCAGGAATTTACCCATACATATTCATGTGAAACAGTTGGAAGCTGCTGGCAGCTACATCCATATCATTAAGAAACCATGTCTAGTTAATTGATTCCTGAAACTTGAAAAAATCAATAATGAAGGTAAAGGTTGAGACATAACTCACCTCCAACAATTCACAGGTGCTGGGCGTCTTGAATACTCCACAGTTGAACCCATGGCGAGAATCACGTCTTTGTTCTGGTTCAGACTCTCCATTTCAGATTTGCATCCAGTATCTTCATCTATTGGTACATTGGAAATCGGAAATGAACAGTAACTGCCACTTTCAGTGTACTTAAACCTCAGGTCACATCAGAACTAAATAAAATCTAAATGTGGCACATAACTAAATGTATATCGAAATTGAGCCCTTTCGAAATGTCATGGTGCTATTCTTCTTGAGACGTGCAACATCAACCAAAATAAAAGTAGATTTCTATAGCCACATACCTGAAGCGCATAAGGTCCCCTTTTCCCTAGGCTCAAGCTCAGTCCGAGAGTTAATTTCTCCTTTGTCTGCATTCGCTATTTTCTCTTCTCTAGCTTTGTGTTCAATCACAGAGTCAATTTTTACTTTAACTGGTTCACTTGTTCTACATTCATGAATTATAGGCATGGAACCACCAGATCTAGTTTCACAATCCATGTTTATGTCATCAATCTTTGCCTGATCATGACTAGCAGCAGCAGATCGTTTCATGGCATGCACTTGCGTGGCAGTCCTATTGGAGGATATGCACTTTATATTTGAAAACTATTTCACATGCGGAGGAGATGTTGGATGAAGTTGACTTTCCCTCATAGCAAAATATGGGTTGTCATCAATCTTTGTCTGATCATGTCTTGCAGCAGCACATCATTTCAGGTTTTGCACTTGCATGTCACTCCTACCAGGGGATATCGACTTCATATTGGATGGCTGCTTCATGCTTGAAGGAGGGGAGAGGCAGGATGAACCTGCCTTTGCTGCATAGCAGAATATGACCTATCCTCAAGTTTTGTTTGACTATGACTTGCATCAGCACATTTGTAAGGAAAATGGACCCAAGGCCCATTTACTTTGGATTTTGGTGTTTGATGACTAACACAACCAAGTTAGACTAATGAATTTGCAAGTGATTGTTTTGTAGTTCAATAGGGTGCAAGACGTGACTTGGACGAAGGCGACGTGATGATCCGATGATCAACACCATAAGCAAGACCCTAGGAGCACAAGAGAAGACCCAAGATATCAAGTAAAGTCCAAGCACGAAGATAGGAACCAAGCCGGACGCAAGATCGCGAAGAAACGAGCTCACAAAGGTGACCGGACGCTGGAGGCACAGCGACCGGACGCTCCGATCGAGAGGCTCGATAGCAGCAGGCATCAGCATCAGCGACCTAACGCTGGCGGCAAAACGACCGAACGCAGAACTGCAGCGTCCGATCAAGTACAGAAAGGTTCCAGAGCGGCGAAATTGGGACCGGGCGCGTCCGGTGGCATGTGACCGGACACTGGCAGCATCCGATCAGTTGATCGCAGCTCTAACGGTCGGGACGACCGGACGCGTCTGGTCAGGACGTGATCAGCGTCTGGTCAGTAGCAGAAAAGCAGGATTTCGTCCCCAACGGCTACTTTCTCAGTGGGGCTTATAAATACAACCCCCAACCGGCAAAATGAAGTGAGTGGAGCTGAGGAAACATATCAAGGGTGTTGATACACCATTTTAGTGATCTCCACATGCATAGTGCTTAGTTATTCATTAGGTGATTAACGTAGGTGCTTTACGAAGTGCTTAGGTTGATTAGACCACCGCTTATGCGCTTGCTCTAAGTTTAGGCCTAGTGTTTAGTGAGGTTTGCATACCTTTTACCACTCGGTGCTTGCGCGGACCATTGTTGTATATCGGAGGGGCTTGTAGTCTTGCGAGATCACACCAACCGCGTTTGTGGTGTGGCCGCCACCGTGTACCGGAGGGAACAAGGCTCGCGACGTTTCGGCCGGAAGCTTGATAGTGAAGACAGCGGGAAGCATCCGGGAGAGGCTTGCCGGAAGGCACGTCGGAGACCCACTTGCGCATGGGGAAGACCCGAGGCTATCCACGGAGTTACCCGACCGGGAGCTTGGCCCTTGCGAGGGGCTCCAATGAGGACTAGGGGGAAGCTTACGCGCTTCTCGATACCTCGGTAAAAAATACCAGAGTCGTCGACGGGAGTTTGCATATCTCTACCTTACTATTTAGCTTCCGCATTTACATTGATTGTATTACTCCTTTTGCGGTAGAAATAGCAACACACTAGCAAAACCGTAGTTGCACATTAGATAGTTTATCTTTTGCATAGGTTTTGCTAAGGTTAGAAAAAGATGTCATAGTTTGAGAAGTAGAATTTTAAGTTGCCTAATTGTCGATGCGGGACCTACAGGATACCCCGCAAGAGAGATAAAAGATCTAGTTCAATTAGGATTCTTCCCATGTAATCTTAATAGTAAAACTATTAAGTAACCCTACTAGGAAATCTCATTGTAAACCGACTAGGACTCTGGCCTCCTGATAATATAAAGGAGGGGAGAGCTCCTGAAAGAGAGGACAACAATTGTACAACATAACACTTCATAATCAATCCAACGCAAAAGGCAAAACGCCGATTTGGGCGTAGGTCGTTACTCGATCTACGATCGAGGGCCTAAACCAGATAAATCGATCGTCTCTTGCGTTTACCATCGAAGTTCAACATACGCCGGCTTCGAACGATCTCGCCACGGTACCCGCATGGCGGGCTATCGATGGTAAAACATCGACAATGGCGCGCGCCAGTAGGGAACCTTCGCGACTTTGCATCCGAGACCCTCGATGGACCTCAATAACATGATCTTCCCGACGGAATCGATTTTCATCTTGGCTCATGGATCTGCGAGGCGGACAACTACGGCAAGCTTCAAAGTCATCTCCTCAAAGATCCGGATCATCATGAAGAATCCTCTATTTCGACAACTCACGACGGATCAGCTCACCGTAAGATTCGCGCGACCCATAATACCCGATTCGAATAAGATTCCACGGCTACACGCATCCGACTCGAATTCAAGCTCCGTGTCCGAGATGAAGTCTTATTCGAGTGCTTTCAAGAAATCGAGTTCCTTTTTGGCAAGATTCCAGAGCACAACCCAAAACAACTCGGATTATCCTCAGAATTCTTTCAAAAGGCCGAGTTCTTTTCCATTTGGGCTCGACAACACGACAAAATCCTATCGGGGGACGGTTTGAAAGGTCTTTCAAACCAACACTTGGGATACCAGCCGATGAGCTCGGGAGGGTCTCGTACTAACGATAACATCGCGAGACTATATCATCCATCGGGCGAGATCCGCTCTCGAGGATAGCGGAACCCAACTAGTCGGCACAACAACAACAGCTATTCTACCTTACTAAGAAGGAGACTCAATCTACGACGTTGAGGCGCCTACTGAAGTCATCAGCAACTCCGACGGTATGAAAACTAACACCAATAACGGAACGGCTCACGCATCGGGAAGTGTTCATGGTTCGGCGTCCACGGTCACCATTAAACCCCCTGAAGCACCCGATGTCGGTCATTAGATGAATCGAGTCCAACATATCACCCTTTGCCCGTGGCTACGATGGAGAAACCGAGAGTCGAGACAAGGCTAGAAAGGAAAAACAAGTTGAAGCAAGGCGCCAACACCGCTTTCCGACAAACAGTAGAAGCTGGACCAGATCTGAGTCGAATTGGCTGAATACGACAAAAGAAAATCACAACAAGAGGTCAAGAGAGACGCATACGGTGAGTACGCCTTACGATAAGATTCGAGAAGCATTAGAAGAACTCGGGGCAACTTCACATCACGGAGAGAAGTACGAACAGCTCCGGAGACTTGCTCGGTCAACGATCCCAAGAACGCATGAAGAGAGAACCCGATCAAGACTACCCGCCAGATCAACAACCCGCAGGCAGGAAGATCAAAATCAAAGGAAGTCCGCTTTTGAAAGACTTGGACCAGGCGGAAGCCATAACGGAGAAAGTAGGAGGGAACATAGTCGGGGACACCAATTCGAACAACCAAGGAAGACCAGGAGTAGAGGGCCTACCCAGACGACCTCGCAGAATTATTTCCATCAAAACAACACTTGGCGTAAGAAGGAGGGCGAATCCGAATTCAAGGAAGCGGAACGCATGATGATTCCCCTGCTTTGCAAACAGGTTGGCATCGATCGATTACCTCACAAATTCAAACCGTCTAACCACTCCAAGTATGATGGCAAAACCGAACCAAGACAATGGCTCAGAATATATTCACAATCAATTGAACTAGCCGGAGGAGACGATGATATCAAAACCTTGTTCTTTCCCATAGCATCGAAGCGATGCCCCTCCAATGGTTCGATAAATTGAACCCGGGATCGATCGAACTTGGGAAGACTTGCAAAGAGCTTTCTGCGAAAATTTCGCAGTATCATCACACACCCGATCACTCATGCCGAATCGAAGGACTCAAGCAAAAGTGGGGTGAAAGTCTCGAAAATTACTATCGGCGATTCAAAGAATCATGGGCTCAAGTGCATGACATCACCGAACGAGAAGTAATTGAAGCTTTCTCTCACGGAATCATGGCTAGGTGGCAATTTCAAGACTTACGCAAAGAAAAAATCCGAGAAACAATGAAGAATTCAGACGAGCAGAGAAAAAATGATTACTGCAGAAGAAAAAACACGAGAAAGGTTCCCGGATAGAAGCAACCAAGACAACCCGGATAGGCAAAATCATCGAAATAGCAAACATCAAGAAAGAAAGCGTAGACCAGACAATACCGTAGCAATGGCCGACAAATCAAAGAAGTTTTCCAAACCCAGAAGATATGATGACATTAAATACATACGTTGCCCATTACACCCTAACGGGAGACACACCATCGGAAACTGCTACACTTTCAATGATCGATACACAAGAAAAGATAGTAAGGAGAACACCAAAGAGGACAATCACAAGAAAGATGAAGACAATCACGAGGACAAAGGATTTCAAAAACCCAGGGGAACGGTAGCAGTGATCTTCTCAGGGGCCCCAGATTGCACAAGCAAACGTCAAGAAAAATTAGCACTACGGACTATCATGACGGCAGAACCGGCTACACCAAGATATCTCAATTGGTCACAATATCCAATCCAATTTTCAAGAGAAGACCAATGAACTAGCGTAGGGAACGCAGGTCATTACCCACTAGTCTTAGACCCAACTATTGCCGGTATGACTGTCACCAAAGTACTAATCGACGGGGGAGCTGGACTCAACATCATCTTTTCAGAAACACTAAGAAAGATGGGACTACAACTCGCTGGGATGATTACACCAACAAGCACTCCTTTTTACGGAATAGTACCCGCAAAGCGACCATGCCACTCGGACAAGTTACTTTACCCGTCACTTTTGGAACCCTGCGAACTATCGAGCGAGTTTATCAAATTTGAGGTCGCAGACTTGATTCGTCATATCATGCGATCCTCGGACGCCCAAAGATCGGCAAAATTCATGGCAATACCACATTATACATACTTATTGCTTAAGATGCGAGGACCCAACGGTATCCTTTTCTCTTGAAGCGATTTGAAGCGTGCTTTTTGATCATGACGTTCAGTAATCCAAATTATGGCAAAAGCACAGCCGACAATGGGAGAAAACAAATAGCCACAATTCTGCCAGCAG